TTTTTTTTTTTTTTTGAGATTATACATTTCTCTAAATGTGAGAAATTGTACTTCGTTTCCGTTAACGGCTAGTTATTTTTGGAAATTGGTTACTTCGTTCAGGATTGATGAAGCTTTTTTCTTTGAAGAATTTATGGGTCAAACTCTTAGCGAACCTGTTACTACGAAAGAAACAGCATCATGTGCAAATTCGTTATATAAAGTTGGAAGTTCCTGTATGCAAGGATGGAGGATAAGTTGGTTTTGTACACTCTAGTAGTCGTTAATTTGAAATCTACAGATGTTAAGGATACAGCTTTTAGATATGGAGGATGCTCATACGCACCTTCTGGCAGTTCCAGACGACAATAAGGCAGCGTTTTTCGCTGTGTATGACGGCCACGGTGGCTCGAAAGTTTCACAATATGCTGGAATTCATTTACACAAACTTATTGTTACCAGTCCTTCTTATGGTTAATATTTTTTCAACAGGCTTATTGCGACCTAGAAAGCTATCAGGGATTATAATGAGCTCAAATACTTAAAAACTGTGTTTCAGATCAAAAACGTGGTTGAGAATAGTTTAAGGATAGGGCTTGAAGACATTGTTTTGCCGTTAGATGATGCTTTTGTGAACAAGATGGCACAGTTTTCAGTTACTGTTGCGAAGTTTTTTTATGGAGAAGTATAGGGGCTTTTTATGAACTGAATGTTTTGAGCCTTTAGGGCTTTGTTAAAACGAGACCTTTTCAGGTCACTAGCATTATTTAACCTGGGAGGATAAGACATGTTGAAGTGTATTCTAGAACTCTTGGCCGATAGAGTGTTTTTCAGTCGAAGGAAACATTGAGGAAGGAATCAAACAGGGTTTCCTTGCTATTGACGAAAAAATGAAAGCAGATGAAACGATGAAGGACGATGTTTCTGGCGCGACAGCTGTGGTAGTAATAATCAAGGAGAATAAAATTTATTGTGGTTAGTATTTGTAAAATTTAATTTTAGTTCTTAGAAGATAAAAAATTAGTGTTTATAATTTTTTCAGCCTTGTGCAACAAAGTGAAACAAGTTTCTGTATGAAGAGTTTTACGAAAATTCATAAACTTTGTTTTTAAATTTGAAATTTTTGTTTTGCTAATTTTTTTCAACTTTACACAAATTTAGGTAACGTTGGTGATTCAAGAGCAGTAGCTTGTGTATCTGGTGTCGCTAAACCATTGAGCTTTGATCACAAGCCAGCTAATGATGACGAGTCTCGGAGAATAAATGCTGCTGGAGGATGGGTAGAGTTTAATCGGGTTAATGGGAATTTAGCTTTATCGAGAGCTTTAGGTGATTTTGCCTTTAAGTGTAATTTGGAAAAATCTCCCGAGGAACAAATTGTTACTGGTAAATGTTGTTATATATAATTATATATATTTTTGGTGGCCTTCTTTATTTAAAGCTTTAGGAACTTAATAGACTGTTTGTTAGGGTATCCACTTAAGTATTTCTTAATTTTAATAAATTACTGAACGTGATTGGCGTTATACAAAATAAGAGTTCCGCTTGAACGTCGTTAATCTTGTGCTGTGGTTCTTTAAATAATGTTTAGCAGTTTTTTGATTACGTAAAGAATTTCGCTATCTTCTATTATAGTTTGGTAACAGTCCATAAAAAATTTCTCATAATAATTTTGAAATTATAAAACCGTTTATCTTCAGCTTGTCCTGATGTAACAGTTGAAGAATTAACTCCAGATCATGAGTTCATTATCCTTGCTTGTGACGGGATATGGGATGTTATGTCAAATCAGGAAGTCGTCGACTTTTGCAGAACCCTTTTAGCTTATGGTCGGGAACCTGAGGAGGTGTTTAGTAGCTTTATTCGAATTCCATCCTTCTTGCGATACTCTTTCTGCCTGATTGTTTTCCAGTATGAAAGTTTCACTGTTGTTGTTATCATTCTAGTACTTATTAAGGCAAGAAGCTTTTGCTACTGCGTAATTTTTTAGGTCTGCGAGGAACTACTATCTCATTGTCTCGCTCCTGATTGCCAAATGGGTGGTATTGGCTGTGATAACATGACTGCTGTTCTGGTGTGTTTGTTGCAAAACCATAGCTACGCAGATTTTAAAGACCATTGTGCAACACCTGCTGAAGTGAAAGAAGGCAGTTATGAAGATTTTGTCACTCCAGAGATATCGCCGGTCAAAACCGGGGTAGGAACTGAGGTACCTTTTAGTTGGTTTTTTCTTCGATGGTCGAAATCGGTGCACCCATTTTCACGTTAAAGATCGGTTCCCGATTTTTACCTGCTCTCTTCCGTAGTTGCTTCTGAGACACTTCCTGGAAGCAGTTTTTTAGGCAATTTTGAAGTGCTTTTCATTTTTCAAGTTGTCACCTGAAAACTGCCATACGTTGTTAATGTTTCACTTTAAAACCAAAACATTTATCTTTTGTTGGCTAGCCTCCGTCTGAAACCTGGAAGTAACTAGTTTGGCTTGCACTGTAGTGCATCTGTTCCTTGTTAGGTCCCTTTGGGTTGGAATTATCAATTCTTCTTTCCTTTGTTTTTTCATTTATTTTGAAATTGGTGTTTTCTAGTGTGACGCTGACTCAAATGTGGAGTGTGGAAACTTGTTAAATTTAAAGGTGGAAACAGAGGATTCCGATGTTGGCAGCAGTACCTCCATTCAGGTTGGTCCAACAAGAATGCGCCCAGAAAGCGTGGAAGGAGGAGAGGAGCCTAATGACAAGACTGATCCTAATATATCTGTGAATCGTTCAGACGTTTTACAACCCTAACTGTTTTAAATTATAGCTCTGTAGAAAGTGCGGATTAACCTTTTTTAAGAAGACTTCTAGGGTCAGCACTGTGAATATCAATTTCATAACTAAAACGGGCATTTAAACTACAAAGAATCTTCTTTTTCTTTGATCTTTTGTTGTTAATGCCTAGGCTGTAATACTATTTTTGCTAGTGCGTCACGTCCCTTGACGAAGCCTTGTTCCCCAAAGACGTCTTTTTAACTTCACATTTTGGCGCGGAGTTCTGTTTCTTTAACGAAAATATGAGAGTGAGGAGGACCCGGTTTAGGGCTTCATGAATAAACTGTGTGCCTCTCCACGATTGCCGATATCCGTCACCGTTCAGGTGCCGCAGCAACCTCATTCTTATATGAACTTTTTCTCTTTGTAGCTGTGACAGCATACCTCGAAGTCGCAAGGGAAGAGAACAGCATAGTTTTGAAGCAACATTTCTTTTGCTCATTATAAAGTTTTAATCACCTGCATTTTTTCCTGAGAGAGCGGTGTTGTAAATATGAAGTTTGACAGTGTGGTGTTAAAGTGATAGTAATTCTTGCTCTGCTTTCAAGTTTCCTACACTCGCAGCTCTTCGCGGGCTGGGAGTCGTATTAATCATATTTAAGAAATAAAATTGTTACGTGTCTGATAACATAGCAGCGCTTCCTACTGCCAAATTTGCCGTCAAAGGCTGAGGAATCGGTTTCATTTTAAAAACGGACGTTAGAGTGCTCCGTGGTACGCCAGCTAGCCTCTTCGTTCCGGATGGTCAAACGTTTGAAGGGCCTGCTCAGACTTGTAATTGTAAAAGTGTTTTGCTACGTCTTCGCAAGTAGCTCTTGAAGTACGCTGGGCAGAAGCAGTGGCCTATGAATTCAATTGTTTATTATGACAGAAATCTATTATGAATTCTGCGATCCCCCAGCAATAGCGAATATCTGCAAACAATGTCCGGGTACAAATATTTTGTACAATCTACTTTGTAAAGTGCCTAGTTTTACTGTGCCGGAAGGCTTTGATCAAGTGACAAAGAGTTCTTCGGCAGGATCACTTGTGGGTGTCGGCTTTTATTAACAAATCTTCACCCTCCGGAAGAGGTTCAAAATATTTGTTGACCATCTCCTCAGTAACGTCCTCTAATTGCGAGGGTTGCCACAGTGGTTTACGGTCCTTCTCAATTAAAACTGCAATGAAGACCCGAAGGGTAAGTACGTTTAGCTGATTTCCAAAAAAATAACATAATCAAGTATTACTAGCGCGACATCCTTCGTGGAAATCGTGGTCAAGCATAAAACGCTGAGAGAGCCTGTACTCCATAGTAAATACTTCAGAAAAGTTTATCTTTGCTCCTTCAAGGAGTTGGCGAAGAGTAACTTTGAGAGACGTCGGACTCTGAAACACAACTTTCATTGAGACGACTGAGGAACAGACCACAACACAGCAAGTCTACTAAAGAAACCTAGCTAGTTACAGAAAAACCCTAATTTTTTTAAAAGTAGTATTAAAATCCATGATATTTCGTCTCATAAAAAATAAGGGTTATCAACAAATTAAGAATACACTTCTAATATTAGACATATGATACCATCTTGGAAATAATGCGAAGTTGTTTTTGCGCAAATTCACTGTTGCTTTTTTTAAGATTTGATACAATCCCTTCCATGGTTGGAGCAGTAAATAAATCTTCAATCTCCTCCAAGTGTGGCTCAAGTGAAAACTTTGGCAAGTCGTCTTCATTATATTTCTTTAATTTAACACGAATCGTTTGCGCCCTAACTTCCTCATCTTTAAGTTGCAAAAGGTCTTTCTCAAGAGCTGGCAGCATTTGCGAAGGAACCTGAAGTAATACAGGAAAAAAATTAGTTATTAGGTGAGATTTTACCACACAGATTGAAACTTAGAAAACAAAACTTAACTTTGACGCAGAGGCCAATGCAAATATTAAAAACTATATTTTATAACTAATCAAGAACAGGGAGGATGTAAAAGAAAATCAAAAGTAAACAGGTAACAATAATTTCTAAGAAAATAAGCGGTATCTTACATAATGTGTGGCTAGGCCGGAATGGTAAACGTCCGCCCCTTGCAAACGGTATCCCGTAAGTGCAAGGAAGATCCCCAACTTATGTTTCAAACGAGAAAGAAAGTAGGATCCTTTAAAATATGTATCAGTAAAATGTAAATCTAATGACTTTTTCATGAGATGAAGTGATTGAACTGGAGACGTCACACATTCGTTTTAAAGCTAAACAAATTTATTCGATTCTCTATTCGAAAGGTTTTCTCAACAATGGTTTTTAGATATTTAAAGCATTGTTAATGAAGAGGAATTGAAACACTTCATTTCGAAATAAAAAATAAGTTTTGAGAACATAAAAAGTACACTGAAAATTTTGAGGACACGGTAAAATATAAAAACAGCTTGAACAAAACTTTTGTGTAGCAAAGATTCACCTCCAACGTCAGGGAATAGGCCCAAAGCAGTTTCAGGCATTGATAAAACCGTCTTTTCAGTGGCTACTCTGAATCCGCCATGTATTGAAACACCACAACCCTAAAAAACTGAAAAAATGAAACTCTGCGAGAAGCAAACCATACGAAACAATAAAAATTTTAGCTCTTAAACAACAAAGACTTACTCCACCCATGGTAATACCATTGAGCAAAGAGATGAATGGCGCTTCACAGACTCCTATTAGATGATTGAGCAGGTATTCTTCTCGAAAAAAATCTTTATGAACCGTTAACGATGGGTCATTTGCCTTTGCTGATTTGGTAACCGCTAAAAAACCTTCCTTTCTGGACCCAACATAAAGGAACAAAAAATGAATCCATTTTCCGCAATTAAGCAGTTTAAACAAAAATAATTTCCTTTATCAGAACTTCTTCAAACCTCTCGAATTTTTTTGATTAAATTTGATAACTTAGTTCGTACTTGATTCAAAAATTTAAAAATAATCTTTTTCCAGAAAAATATGTCTCTCGTACGACTGCCATGTGAAACTGCCATTATTTTCGCGACATCAGAAAATTTCATGTCGTTGGAAAAAAATTTGCTACGCTGTTGCTTTACTTATACAACGGTAGTAAAAAACTCCCCTATTGTATCTCACTTTTCGTTCTAAAGCTCTTACAAACATATAAACCTTAATATATTCTATACCACGTATCTATCAAAGTTTTCGGCTTGAGGAGACTACTTTTCCCCCACCACATTTTCAGGTTAAAATGCTTAAAAAATTTCAACGTCTCCTCAGAATGCAGATCTGCAAGAATCTAACGGCTTTTGATAAATATTAATGGCTTACAGAACACTAAAAATTTACACAAGATGAGTAATCTCTTATCCTTTTAGTTTAATCATTTTAAGCATTTAAATTCCCGATTTCGCCTCCAAAGCAGTTGACCAAAAGAAACTGTTTTCTTTTATGGGAGCTTAGTACCTAAGTTAATTCAACATCAGCTTCACATCCGCAAATATCGGAAAGCTATTCAGAATACGGAATTCAGAGCATGTGCAGCATAATTAAAGTGGCCAAGTTTTTTTCTACGTGCATGAAAAAGTGTTCTTTCAGCTTTACAAAACGGTGCCGTTCGTGGGAAACGGATTAATTCTAGTAAAATAACAGAAGCTAATCTGCAGATTCGGATCCTGGAATTTTTCCAAAATCGAACCTTTCCAAAAGCATGGCTCAATCTTTCTTGGTTAAGCATAGTCAGCAAAACAAAAGGCAGGAATTACCAAAACCTTACCAATAACGTCACCGCCAGCACAAAACGCTTTATCTCCAGCTCCCTTCAGTATGACTAGTGAAGCAATCCGCTCACTATTCCATTTCTGAAAATTTTTAAAAGGTTAATTTGAAAAACGAAATGAGTCAAACCCTAATCGAAGTGCACGATCAAATAGGAATGAGTGTCTGAATTAAAGAGGCTAAAAAAGCGTAACGCGTATAAGTCCTCATGCTGGTTAATTCCAAATGAGTAACATGAATGTAGCTTTATCACCAACACTTCAAAGCCCTGAGGTCCAGACTATCTTGAAAATCGCAAAATACAGCTGCGTAGGCAGGAAACCTCTTTACAAGCTCATGACCAACAAAAGACCTGAGTTTCCCAATTCGCCTATTCTGTGATCCGAAAATATAAACAAAAAAAAAAAAATAATAATAATAATAATTAAAAAATCAAACGTCTTGTTCAAACGCATAATTTCAATTAATTTATTTGAAAAATGGTCATAGTCACCTTTACAAAAGCAGAAAGAGAACTAAATTTTTGAAGAATCGTAGCTGTATTAATATTTCCAAAACTCCTAGGCAGTATTTTTGGACCGCAACTGAGTTCCTTAAAAAAACCCAAATTCAGCATTGGGAGGTGACGACCCTTCTTTACTGCGCACACTGTTAACTTATTTCCTTATACTCTATAATATGACACCTCTCGTTAAGTTACCGCAATCAGTGCAACTGCGATGTTTTTAAAATAAGATTTAGTAACGAAACAGCGTTTTAGAAATCATCACTCAAACGAGCAAGTTGAGTCCATTTATCTTTCTAAAGATTAACCACCAGTTTTCGCTACATCGATCCGTTCAGCAAAAAGTAAAAGAAGAAGAAACTATTTGAAAAAAAACAGGAGACGAACAACTTCGCAAAAACTTACATACCTTTAACAGCGAGTAAAACTGGCGTACCATAGACAGATTTAATGCATTTAGAGCCCTTGGTCTGTTAAGGGTTACCACCTTTTTCCTGTCCACCGAGGTAACAAGAATTTCATTCGATGTTGTTGAAAACAGCTAAACAAACTATGTCAGTTCTACACACTTTTCTTTATATATATTTAGCGTCAAAACTGCCAGTTTATACTACTTGAATTAATACCATATAGCTTTTATAAACAGATACTAAATTTTTTGCACGAAGCAGAAGATCGCAGTTCTCAGTTTAAAGCGAATGCATAAAAAATGAATCTTCAAAAAAGCTTGAAGCTAGCCATCAAATACAAAGTATTAGAGCGGTTAATACCCTCAGAGTTCGGTAAAATGACAGGATAAATCCCTAAATGTGAAATTCAAATTGCTTTAAACATAACTGCGCATTGTTGCTATCTGATTCCTTAAATGCAATTTTTCTCCCACACAAACAACATCGAAGCTGTAATCCTGACCATAGTCAGTTAACCTTGAAACGTCTGTTCTTGTTTTTTAAGAGAACAGTATCTGAGTAAAAAAATCGGAAATGAAGAAAGAAAGGAAAATGTTATCGAAGACTATACTCAAAAAGCGTTGCATACAACTAAACAAGCCTCAGCCCAAAAGACCAAAGCCGTGAGACGTTAATAAACAAGAGAAATAAGCGCTTCAATGTTTCAATCGCAAAACGCAGAGCTTTTTCTTTACTGTCAGCAACTTCAGTTTAAGTACAGTAAATCACTATAAACGTAATTCTCTCGAATGACTGTACACGTACAGGACTACTAAAATTTGGCTTACAAAAAGAATAACAATTGAAATATTTTGGTCACGTTTTTGCCCACCATCATACTTTTTCTACTCTTATCATGCGCCGTTAGAGCCCTAGACAATCACATCATCACTAAAAGCCGCCGTCTCTAAACGGGAAATCTGTGACTAGTTCGCTCTCGGCTCCCGTCAGCTATGAACACAAAAAGTTTCTAAACATAACGACAGTCACTGTGCGACAAAAACTATAAAAAAAGTTATTAGAAAATGAAAAATTTTTTCTTCTTGAATAAAACAGCCCACTTTAAGGATACATAGGCACTTTTTCTACTCAGAAAACAACATATATGCCGATTTTGGAATCAAAAAATACCTTAATAAGTCCACTGGTGCCAAAGCTGGACCTTTTTAGGAAAAAATGCACTTTGTACTGGACATGGTCAAAAACTTTTAATTTAAACGAATTGTAGAAGTAAAATAAAATATTCAAAACATGTCTAGAAAAGAATCAAAAAAAAGTCAAAAGTCATTCTTTGGAAAAAGATTCATTTTTTGAAGAATGATTTTTTAAGAACATTTTAAAATTACACGATTACATTTTACTGGCGCCCAAAATTATGCTACGACTAGCGAAACCAGTTTGCAAAGAATCCTCGGCCGAAACAATATTCTTGCGCTACTGTAAATAACAGTGTCCTAGTTAAGACTAAAGCATTATTTTACCGAAGCACTCTGTAGCTTGGTTTCGATTAAAAATTTATAGCGCTGAGTAACCAACACGAAAAATTTTAGAAATCATTATCGTAATGTTTACTATTCAATTTTTATTGTTTTGCTTTGTTACTGAACCCTCTCAACGCAAGGATAGGAAACTGGTTATTGAAGGCGAATATTGTCTTGCTATTAACCTCTCAACAGTAGTGCGCGGCATAATACAGTATCCTGTATCTGAATACGACCACAAGAAACCCAAGCCATTACATTCAGAGTTAGAGGGATATTTCTGAAATGATAAAGTGCGAGCAAATAAAAGAAAAATGTTTTTTAGCCAGTACTTTTTCTGCCCTAAACTACAGGAAATAGTTTGTGTTAGAAGCAGTCTTTAATCATGCTACTAACTCCAAAGAAGCTGGAACTAATAAGTCTAGGAAAAACAAACTGTCGGGTGGAATCGACTGCAAAATTTACGATTTCCAATTTCTGTTCACATTGCTACTACTGCGCTAAATACTCTATAGTTTAGTGAGGTCCCACAAGCAAGTCTTAAAAACCGAATGACGCAGTGGCCGTCAAAAGTAAGCTTTGACAGCTCCAGATTATGCAGAATTTGAGGACACAATATACACTTGGACTCCAGCGCAGGAACAATACTGAAGCTTTTCGCTCAATTTGGAATACGTGAGAGAAGATCTGATGGCTTTAAGAAATTATTAGCTAGGCACCGCTGAAGTTTTAAGAAAACAACTAAATCGGAGCCAAATACAGTGAGCGAAGAGAAGTAAAGCTGAACTTCGTATTCCCTAATCGTTGCGAGTATATTTAACAAAAACTTCAATAAGAACTTTAAATACGTTCCTTCAACGCACACCGTGCCAACCAGGTTGTTCTTCTTACACTACAGTCGCTCCAGTCTATACTTTTCACTTTCTTAAAACCGTCTGCAAATTCTTCTAGCCAAAATTCAGTGAGAAGCTTTTTCATACAATCCTTACACTGAAGCACGAATGATTTTTACGACGCATGCAAAAATTGCAGCTTTCCCACAATAAACTTTCTAGGAACTACTTCTCGCAAACAATGCGCCATTTCCCCTCCCCTTCCTGAAAACTCGTGTCCAGGACCGTGCTAAACTAGATTTTTTGGAACTTTAGAGTATTAATACCACTACCAGCAATATAAAAAACACTTGCAAAAAATTTGTAATCAGTTTAACCCTACACCGAATTTTTCCCTAATTCACTAATTCCAGTTTCCTGGCAGCCGTAATTTGTTTACCTTTAATCACGAAAACCAAAAAAAATAAAAATGCAAAAGTTGAAAAGTAGAAGAGTTAATAACATATTACCTTTCATTTTAAGTACTGTTTTATAGGCTTTTTATCTTTTCTTCGGTCTTTTCAAATCATCAAAACGGGACCTTGTACTTTAAAGATTTCACTAACCACGCCATAAGCAAAGATTTTATGCCCTCCTTGTGCACTTTATAGAAAATATCATTAAAAACGCAGCAGCATCCATTACTTAAAACCGCTTTAGAAAAAAGTTATTTTAATCTGAACAGTAATTTCTACAAAAAATTTTTTTCTCGATCACTTTGGCTGCAACTACATATACATGTATACAACGGAAATGAGATTGGTACTGAAAAAAAGAAGCGAAAAAAAACTCTTGAGTTAGACTGAAAAATGACCTACTGAAACTGCTAACATAAATCCCAACCCCACTAAATGCTCCTCGGCTGCTAAAAGCTGTACGCTAGCTGACTAGCTTGGGTGCAGGCTTTGACATTCTTTTATACAACCAGTTTAGAGATTTGCTAAAACAAATAAGTAGTTAAACCCATAGACCAATTTTAACCCGTGCTTCCTCGTCATCAACACCTTCTTTTCACAGTTGCGTCAAAGGCAAAAAAAAAAAAAAAAACCCAGTTAAACTCCACTCTTTTAAAGCCTAAGATATGTTAATAAAATTGACCCAAATGTCGACTTTTACATATCGCAAAATTCTTACCCTCTCGCCCAGCTTGGTCACTCGATTATAACCGTAACCACCAGAACAAAATTTTCAGTGAGATTCTTAGTGTATAGAAGTTACAAACAAGGTATAACGCCAACAAAACCGATGACAGCCACTAACCGCTTTTCAATGAAATTTCAAAGCATTACCTTGAAGCATGACGGAGAAGCAACGCGTAACAAATTGCTCGAAAGCATTTCTAGACGGGCATCGACGAAGCGAAAAAAGATTCTTTAAACGCAAGAGAAAAAAGTTTTAAAAATCTGAGCTGAAAGTTGAGACTACAGCAACAGTCTTCGATGACGAGTTAGGATTAGCGAGCAAAGAAATTGCAATATGACCTGAAATACTCAGTATCCATGATAATAGGATAAGAAGATAGATAATGATAACGTTATTTTAAATAAGTTAAAATTATTAAAGGTATTACGCATAAAAAAATGTGAGAGATAGTGTATAATATGATTAACTGTATAACACTCAGTTAACTAATAAGTTAACTCACCTCTTGCATATACACTAATAACACAACTGTCTGAAGGGTAACAAAAGAAAATTATTTATACAGATATGAAACTTGATCATTAGTTAAGAAAAATTCAAAACAATTACCTAAAGAAATTGCGATTTTCCAATAAAAAAGCAGTTGACAGAGAAGTCCCAATTTAAGGAGATTTAATGACAGAACTAACCATAATTTCTCTTCAAATATGTACAAGTATATACCTAGAAATAAATAAGCAGCCGAACAGGTTTTTAATGACCCTAAGGAATTCACAATTCTCTGTCATGTTGCCAAATAGCTGACCGTTTGGCTAAATGCCAGCTTTTACTAGTCAATTCAGAAAAGTTTCCGATTTTTCTACTGTATTTTGTGGCCCAAAACATTCTGGCCAAAAGGTTTACTAAAGGATCCATGAAACTGTGCTGCATTTATAGTTGTGGACATCGTTGTTCCTTAACAGTTTGTCTTTGGTCAGTTAGGCCCGTTTCGATGGCGTGCGCAACGCATTTGCAACACTTCCCTTAAAAACACTTTCAGTACTATATATACCTAGTTAATGAACTTTTGCAATTTTTTGCTGTACTATTGGTCCCATTGTCGTCTATCATTTTTTTGAGTATATTCGATTTTTTTGTTGACGACTAGTCGTCTTTTAATTATGGATAGGGTGGCGTTGATAAGTAATGGGCACCAAGGTAGCTATTTCCCGTAAAAGAGCATCTAGCGTTTTCCTTGTTTTCAAATTCATGGTTGCGCCATATCTGTTGTTTCGTTAACTTACGGGATTTTTAATTTCAATGAATTTGGGACGGTTCTATATTAGTTTAAAGTTTTGCTGTTTATTTTGTGGCTGTTTTTTTTAAAATGCTGAAAATCATTTCATAACATATTATAATTTCATTTAGGGTTAGCAGTATAGCAAACCAATGTCAGGGGGTTTGGAAGCGTTTGCCCTTCGGGAAGAAGATGTAATGAAGATGCTTGCTTGCCAGACTCATTTAGGAGCTGGTAACTGTGATTTTCAGATGGAACAATACGTCTTTAAACGGAGGAATGATGGTTAATTTACAAACATTAAAATTTTTTTTATTTAGTCTTTATGTGTCGTCAGTTGGTCAATTACTAGTGGTTTTTCTAACATGCTGGGGTTTGATATAGAAATGTTTGTTCTTTAAGGAACACACATTATCAACTTGAGGAAAACATGGGAGAAACTGTTGCTAGCAGCTCGAGCGATTGCTGCAATAGAAAATCCTGCCGATGTTTGTGTAGTGTCAGCACGTCCGTATGCGCAACGAGCTCTTTTAAAATTTGCAGCTCATACAGGTGCAACTCCAATTTTTGGTCGATTCACTCCCGGCTGTTTGACCAATCAGATTCAAGCTCAGTTCAAGGTTTTCGGTTTTGCATTTTGGCCCCTTGCTTTGTCATGGAAAATTTCATCTGTGATTCCCATGTATTTATTTTCACTCATCAAATGATATATGGCAGTAAAACTTGTGTGACGCCGTTCAAAAGAATTTTTTTATTGTTGTTTGAAAAAGATGCTTTCATTGCTGTATAGCTCGCTTGTGATCGCTTATTTCATTTAAACTGATGATTTTTTTCTTAGTGAAGAAGCTTGAGCATAGATTTTTTTTTGGCTTACAGTCTGGTCCTAATAATGCTGTTCGCTCTTTATTGTTTCTCGTTTAGGAACCACGTTTATTAGTAGTTTCTGATCCGCGAGTTGATCATCAGGCTGTGAACGAAGCATCGTATGTTGGAGTTCCGGTCATCAGTTTTTGCAATACTGATTCGCCATTGAAATTTGTCGATGTTGCCATTCCCTGCAACAATAAGGTGGTTTTTTTTCTGGTATTTTTTATGACTTTGTTTTTTTTTTGTTTCAACTTTACTTTAAATACCGTAATACTTGTTGAAGGGTGCACAATCTATTGGGTTGACTTGGTGGATGTTGGCTCGCGAGGTTCTTTTAATCAAAGGGAAGATGACCCGTGAAACTGGTTTTGTTCTTGAGGGCAAGGCAATCATGCCGGATCTCTACTTTTATCGTGATGCTGAGGATCAAGATAAAGAAGAAGCTGCAGAAATTCGCGATGGGAAGGAAGCTTGGCCACCACAACAAGCAGTTGATGCTAAACTGGATGACGTAGGTTCATTCTGTTTCACTTCTATTCTCGATTCTTCACGTAACGCCCATCTTACATCTCAGTTACTTTTTTTGCTATATAGGATAAGAGAAACAGAGTTCTTTTCTTGACTGGAAGTTGGTTTTGTGTTAAGAAGTGTTGGCGTATTTCGCCATTGTGATTTGGCTTTTCACTTTAAAATTTGATTTAGGTTTTTAATTTTCCCACGTCATTGTGTTTTTCATTTTATATATAGAAGTTAGATTAAATGAAATACTATTTCTGGTTCCTTTAAAGTGCGACCTTGAGATTACACTGAAGTGTAAAAGGAGGCAGCTTTTGAAAGCCTGAAATGTATGAGATGAACAATTTAGGAACTTAAGCTGTTTATTCAAAAGTGCACAGGCTTCAATAAAAAGTGGAAATTATCTGGTCTAATAAATGGCTTTCAGTTCCAGGCAGCTGCAGAGTCTGTACCGCAAAAAATAGACTTTACTACAGTTCCAGAAGTAGTTGACTGGGCAGCTGAAACGGCTAGTTACGATAGGACAGCTCAAGGTGATGCCCCACAAGCCAGCGAATGGGCTAGCCAGGATGCAGGAGCCAACTGGTAGGGCGATACTGCTGTAAATGAGTATTGATGCTGTATGGAGTGTATGTTAACTGGGAACCTGTAATTTCGAGGTTTTGCGTGATG